TCTCATTCATCATCTTCAGGCTTCTGTCTTCAGCTCTGTGCTTCTCACTCTGAGAAGCACAGAGCTGAAGACAGAAGCCTGAAGATGATGAATGAGACTTCATCGAAACGTTGCCTAGATACTTCCAATCTTACGCGGGAGAAAACCCGAATAACCAAAGATCCGTATATATATCTGTGTATATATGTATAACAATAGTAAATGGAATAATTATTCTATTCAAGTACAGCTCTGCCATTAATATTAATAACAATCTTTTACATTTCTATTTCTTTTAACAAACATTACCTAGTAATATCAGTTGCCTTTTACTTCAATCATCTATATTTCATATTTTACTTATTACTGTTTTTAAATAAAAAACCAAACAATAGTTATTAACAGTAGTCAATAAAGTTATTATTCTTATTCAAGTTCATCTTGTCAACTGATAAAAATCTTCCATGTTTCTTTTCAGTTTTTTTAAATGTTCTTTTTAAACCATTGAGAGCCTTATTCTCTTTACAAACAAATATTCCACTACACATCAATAGAAATTTTTTCTATCACTTTAATCATCTAATACAGGGGTGTCCAACCTTTCACCTTCCCTGGGCCACATTAGAAGATGAAAATTTGGCTTGGGCCGCACATAATTAAATTAAATAATTAATTAAATTAAATTAAATAATAAATTAAATTAAATTAAATTAAATTAATAATAAAATAAAATAAAAAAATCTTTATTATTAATTATTAATTATTAATTAAAAATTATTTATTTTTTATTTTATAATTTTCCGGCCAAATTTTGCGGGGGGGGAGGGGGGGAAGAAAGCTCGCCTGCCTCGCGCCTACCTCTCCTCCTGCAAATTATTTATTTTTTATTAATTTTCTGGCCAAATTTTGCGGGGTGGGGGGGAGGGGGGGAAGAAAGCTCGCCCGCCTCGCGCCTACCTCTCCTCCTGCAAATGCAGCAGCGGTGGCGGCGGTGGCGGGGGCAGAAGCAGCAGCGGCGGCGGCGGTGGCGGGGGCAGAAGCAGCGGCGGCAGCGGCGATGGGGGCAGAAGCAGCAGCGGTGGCGGTGGCAACAGCAGGAGGTGGTGGGGTAGGACTTTTGGGCTGCGGCTGCCCGCCTTTTCTGTTGCTCGCCTCGCGCCTGCCTCTCCTCCTCCTCCTCGCTGGATCTTTCATGAAGGTTTGGGTGGGCGTTGGGCCGCATTACGAGGCGACCTGGGCCGCATGCGGCCCATGGGCCGCGGGTTGGACAAGCCTGATCTAACATATTATATAACAATGCTATCCCATATACCCTTGCAGAATCGTCTCCTTAAGTTAAATTTTAACCATTGTCTCTGTGTCTTTTAAATAGGTTTATACCTTTAATTCTTATATGTTTTTCCTGTACCTCTATATCTTGTTTCTGTCTTTTGTAGCTTCTTTTCCTTTCCCTCTTCCCTTTCTTCTTCTCCCTCCCCTTTTTATTCCCTTTTCTATCTGATTCTCCCTTCTGTGATCCTCCCTTCTGCTTCTTCCTGATATTATGATTACTTTTCAAATTACTCTTTTTTTTTGGTTGTTGCTTCAGTGCTTAAGTTTTTAACTCCCTTTCCCCCCTTTCCCTTCTTTACCCTGCTTAAAATTACTTGGTCATTAAAGATGGCTTCTTCGTTGTCCCGCCCTTCTTGTTCTGCCAGCGTTTCTTGTTGTTTTTCATAGTTCAAGATCTCCATTTCTAAAAATTGAAATACGAAGCCAAAAGATCCTCTTCCGTCTTGTGCTTCTTCTTTTTGTTCTTTAAGTCTCATTTTTAATTCTTCAAGGAGTGATGCCATTTTAAAAAAATTTAAACAACCCCCAATTGATTTTATTTTATTTCATTAGGATCCTCCATCCAAAGTTCCAGGAATCATTCAATAATCCAAAACTGTTTCTTACTTCTTTTCCAGGGGCTTTGTTCTCTTGTAACAAAGTTTCAGCTACAACATATCTTTTACAAGTCTTGTTAAAATTCCACTATCAATTTTTTTTAAAAGTTCCAGGTGGTCTCCTCCATTTTCCAGATTCCACCCTCTTTTTTCCTTTTTTCCTTTTTTCCTCCGCTTTCTTTCTTTTTTTTAAAGAAAGTTTTTAAATTATCTAAGAATCTTTATCCCTTTGACACTTTATTTTCAGCTAAAAGTAGCCTATTAATGTCAAAGTGGATTATTATCAATTTCTTATTCGAATCTCTTATTAATGTTCCAAGTCAGTAAAAATGTCAATGTTAGAGGAAAAACGCCAATTCCGTTTCCTTTCCCTTTCTCTTTCGCAGCTTAAAATCTTTTTTAGGAATAGTATTAGTCTTTAAAATTCAGGTTCCAGGTACCTTAAATAGATGTTCTCCATTCAACCCAATCAGTCAAACTTTCTCCTTTAAACTTCCTCCTGCACAATCTTGTCCGGTTGGGTTCTTCTTTGAGGTGGCCATTTCTGACCACCGCTGCAACCGCCTTTGGGAAAGGGAGTAATGGCCAGCCGAGGAGGAGAGATAAAGCTCTCCTCAACCCCGCTGACGGCTCCCCCTTCTTCACCACCTCTATGGGGTGGCTTCATCCCCGAATCCGGGTGGCTCGGGACGCTCCAGCAGCAAGCACGGATCAAAACCGTGGACAATCGCGATTTCGGTCCGTCACTGAAGAAGCCCAAACTGGAAGTCCCACAATGCTCAAGTCCTTAAGGTTGGGAAAATAGCATTAGCAATAGCACTTAGACTTATATACTACTTCAGTGCTTTGCAGCCCTCTCTAAGCAGTTTATAGAATCAGCATATTGCCCCCTCAATCTGGGTCCTCATTTTACCCACCTCGGAAGGATGGAATGCTGAGTCAACCTTGAGCCTGGTGGGATTTGAACTACCAAATTGCAGGTAGTTAGCAGAAGTGAGCTGCAATACTGCACCCTAATCACTGCACTGCTGAGAATTAGAACTGTACAGTTCTTCAAAACTTCAAGCTATTCATCCCTTCAAGACTTCTTTGCAAAACAAACTGACCACTTTGTTTCTATTATTTTATTTATTTATTTATTTTATTTATTTGAATTTATTAGCCATCCAACTCTATGAGCACTCTTTACAGCTTTGTAGCCCCTGAAAGCATCTCTGATATAATTAGCCAAGTTTTAGCAAGCGTCGCAAGAGAAGGTGCTGCTATTCTTCTCAGGTACCACTTGCCAAGTCCTTGGTCAGGGGTGCCAGGTGATGATGTGCTGCTTAATTCTGCTTTGATGGTGGAAGGTGAAGTGCTCACCTTTGGTACTTAAATGATGGCAAACTGTGTTGTGAAAAGGAGCCTCATTACCTTGCCTAACTAAAGCTAGAAAGGACTCCTGTGTAAGTAGACAGTTGCAGAGAAGCCTCTTCCAGCTTCTTTCACAAGGATACTATGAGAAGCTTCAGGACAGCACAACATGCTTCATTAAGGCAGATCATACAGCCTTGATGCTTAATGAAGATAATAATCACGTCATGGGACTTACTTAGTGGGGCTTTTGGATAGCCCACTGAGGAAAAAAAATCATGCAAGATTGACTTCATACATGGTAACAGCACAAGGCTATATATATATATATATAGCAATACAGTATACACAATAATGGAGGAATACTGAAATTCCCACAATGAACAAGTGGATTGTGAAGAAGTTGGAGTTGTCAGAAATGGTGAAGCCCGACCTTTTGTGGTGAGAGATAAAACAATAAATACATTTTTAAAAGATGGGAAAACTTTTATGGACTTTTTGCTGAAAACAGAGAAAATGATAAATAAAAAAAGAACTACACTAAAGATGAAGGGATTTTTATAATATTAAGGAGGGAGATTGGGTAATACGATTGTTAATTTCTGTTGTAAAGAAGGTCAGAGATCACTTATTTTTCTGACTTCAGTCCTCTTAGTCTTTTTTCCCTGGCTTTCTTTTTTTCCCCCCTTTGCTTTCTGTACTTTCTTTTTCGTATCTCTATTTTTATATATTTTCTGCTACTTTTTGTTTTAGTTTTGTCCTTTACTGTTTGAATTTTTTTTAAAATAAAATCTAGAGAAAGAGAGAGTAAAAGAAGAAGCAAGAGAGAGCAAGAGGGAATGTGTGCGCACGAGAGAAAATCACATCATGTTCACAGTCAGAAGTGCCTTGGGGAAACAAATTACTTCGTGCAGACTTATTAAAAATTCATGCAGGAAAAAAGACATCAAAATTAACAAGAACAATGTTAGTCCTAATTAAACCCATCTGCATTACAGCTCCTGAGTTGTTGGAGACTACACTGAAAAGCTAAACAGAAACACAAAAGTGGTTAAGGCACTAGGCTAGAAAGCAGGAGAACAAGACTTCTAGTCCCACCTTAGGCAGGAAAGCCAGATGGGTGACCTTGGGCCAGTCACTCTCTTAGCCCAACTTACCTCACAGGGGAAAATAGGAGGAGGAAGGTGCACTGGATAGGTTCACTTTCTTGAGTTATTTATAAAAATAATAAAGGCAAGATACAAACAAGCAAACAAATAACACAATTCTATTATGCATATGCATGGAGTCTACACCTGTTCACAAGTTTCCCCTGATATAATAATAAAGTAACATCAAGGAAAGGTGTTTTTTGCAATATTAAAAGAAGAATACGTTCAGATGCAGAACAAACACAAATATACAGCAAACAGAATTTAATACATTATATACTGCTGTCCATTTCTGAAGAAGTTCTCATGTGGGCCCTTCTATATACTAGAAACTGACCACAAAGAATCCTTTGCAAGACTAAAAACCTGCCATATTACTATCCAAAATTACATGTTATTTCACCTGATGTGCATGTGGAGCTGCAAGGAGCATAGGCTGATATCTTCCAGCGATACATGTCAGCCAAGCTGATGTCCTCACGGCCAAGGGGACTCAGTTCAAAGTCATTGCTGCAGGGGGAAAAAAACCCTCAGTATAAGTTTCTGGATGGAGGATTTACTACAGGAAGGAAAATATGTTGTCCTTCCCTGGTTTCCACAGAGGCTAAAAGGAATCCCCAGATGGCAACACATTATTTCTTCATAGTTTGCTTATCTACACAGTCTGTCACAATTGTAGGGATTGTAGAGAATTTAATCATCTAAGAGCAACGTTCTTCAAGCAAAGGGCACACTAGACTGCATCAAAAAATATGCAGTTTAAATACTAATAGAGTCTTCCCAGTGAAGGCTTCCCATCGTGTCTTTATGATTTACTGCCTCCGCGTGCAACGTTCCAATTAGCCTCCACCAATGAAATGACCAGCACATCACAGCTGACGCAATTATCCAGTGATAGAGAAGGCTACCCTTTTCATCTAACTACAACCTCTTCCAATCAAAGTAGTGGAACAGCTGATAATTATGATATCCACATACATCAAAACAATCCAATATACTAACTGAATTGAATTCAAGAATGAAGATTCCCTCAGATTTCCCAAGGATAATGGCTTTAGGCCATTTAAAACTAGAATCATTTGAAGAACCACATGTAATTAATTTTTTAATACTGCATTTACATAAAATCTACATTTTCTCCAAAGTAATTTATTTTTAAAAAGGGACTGTCATCTTAAATATGCTGGGAAAATTATGATGAAGTCAGTCGAGAGAGTTTTTTTCTAAAGCTAAACAAGTACGCAGTGCATCTTAATCCTGGGGCTGAGGGAAGACTGGATTTAGTTTGCTCTCCTTCAAATGGAGAATTTGAAAGGAAGCCAAGCTTGCTCCGTTGCCAAGGTTCCTCCTGAATACTTTCTTTTTACATTACATCACTTTTTTTTTTCTTAGAACATTCAACCCTTTTCTCCCAATCTATTTTCTTTCTCACCTTTCAGCACCTGGACCTTGAAGAGGCTCTGACAGCTGCTGGTTCCCAAAGCTGATTGGAAGCCTGGAGCTGGAGCTAGGGTTGGAAGAAATTGCCATGAGAGTATCATTTGTTGCTTCATTCATTACAAAAGGGTCGACATTCACTTTGTCTGGAAAGTTTTTTGTAGGTTGCTTGGGCAGTCCTTCCGGCCATTTGATAGTTGCATGACCCCACAACCCGACTGTTGAATTATTTCTCCCAACCTTGACTGTCATGTAATGCAATGCCCTACAAAAAGCGGCATTTTGTGGATCCTGGAGACACAATGATCTGAAGAGATGCTGTCTGGATGGACCAATCTTATTGGCTTCATGGAGTTCAAATCTTGCTGCGCCATGTGGCGTGGCTGTGCTGATCATAATATTATTGAGTCTGAGGGCTTAAGAAGAATGAAAATGAACCAAGAGGCCCACAAAATTCAGTTTACTTTCTACAATTAAAAAGGCTTCTGTCCCCCTAAATATTTGGAAATACTCTTATTTGACCATGAATAATCTACAATAGTTTCTGTATCTGTTTAGGTATGCTCATCCTTCTTTCAGCATTTGAAAATGATTTCCTGTCTTTCATGACTATAAAGAAAAAAATGCAAACTAACATACTATCGAAAATGTTCCAGAAATACATGAAATTTAATTTGGAATATACTATCTGAATATACAACTTGCATGTATTGCTTTCTTTGACAAAAGGACTTTGATCCTTAGGCAATGATAGAACCTCTTTGTTATTCAATACATCAGCTGTATCTGTTTATTCAGACATATGTGGAAATATATGAAAAAGATAGACTGCTTCAATGAAGAGAGATATTACACTTTGATAAAGTTCAATGTTAAAATTATGAGGTGTTATTATTCAGGATTTGAGTAACATTGTTAAATATTGCAGTCTATATATGTGCGTGCATGCATGTGTGTGTGGAGAAAATCAATGTTGATTTAAGTCAGTATTTGATATATTTTGAATATACATCACTATTAACATTGATTTAGATCAATGTTAATTGATGAAGTCATGATAAGAGCTAAATTTCAGTAGTAAATTTTTGAAAATGTCATTATTCCACATAATGTTTGTTTTTTGCCAGTCAAAAATGGGACTATCAAAAAGAATCCCACCCTTCAGTTTTCCATTTCCATATAAGAACCTTGAATATGGAAAGGGTTACATAATTACAGACACGTACAAAGCGAGCAACACTTTAGTTTCTGAGGAGCACTTGAAACACCAACCATTTCCAACTTTGGAACCAACTTTGTACTGTAGATGATTGAGTAAATAAGCGTATGAAAGGATACTGACCCAGATCTGCTTCTTTGTCAGCTGTCAGATCTTCACTTGTTTCATGTGTATGATAAAGTTGTTGGAATTGAAAGCTGAGATTTTCCTCCTGTGCCCCATGTTTCCAGCCCCATTCTTTGCCTTGGGGAGTGGAGTTATTTGGGAAGAAGTTCTGGCTATTGAAAGACATGCCCCCAGGTTCTTCTTCTGTCTCATCTGTCATCTCTGTGACAGAAACCCAAGAAGCATTGAAATCTTGGGAAATGGATGAAACTGCATCTTGGTAATTTTGGCTAGGTTCTGGTAAGTGAAGATAGAGAGGCATCTTGATGGATGGCGGAACTGTCTGAACAACTGGTGACAATGCTCTAGGCACAGTGTAGTCATATGTTACATGTGGCATTTTTCCATTGAAATTGTAGTACTTTTAACAAAAAGAAAAAAAAATAACCAAGCTTACTCTCACTTTTAAATTATGCAAGATTCTACTACAGTCCAAAGAACTTCGAGAAAGACGCTTCACATAAGCAACTGTATACAGTAATCAGATGTGGCAGTGTGCAAAATGACTGGAAGTCCAAATTTTCATTCAAAATGTTGTTGTGGGTCTGGAACATTTCGCACAAAGTTTGGAACAACATTTCTAGTAAAATAAGGTTTTTAAATAACCAAAGGTATTTCAAGCTTGAAACATTTTGCACATCTGCTCAGAAGGACTCATAGCCCCCAAATCTGCTAATTTGAAATCTAAGAGTGAGCTCCCAGAGTACCACTTTGAAGATACCACTTTTTATCATTTCTATTTGCTCTCCCAAATTTTGCTTTCCTAAAAATCCTCATGAAAGAAGAAATCAGGAACAAATCTGGGAATGCGATAAGTCCTCTTTCCAAGCCAGGTAACCACCCTCTTAAATTCCCTGAAACAATATCTGAGAGAGGAATCTCTGGTAGTCATCAAGGTTTGTTTGGATATAATGAAGTGAATTTCAAACTTTAGCCAGACATAGAAGCATCCTTTTATAGCTGGCCCTTTGCATTTTCTATCGAAAAACAGCATGATTCCCTCTAAACATTTTCTCTAGGTTTTGTTCTCCATCTGATTATTACAATTTTACCCTTGGATAGGTTGAGCTGAAATTACTTCTGATTAGATGAACATGAAGAAGCCATGCTTTAAAATCCAAATGTGTCCATCAAATTAAAACTGCCTACTCCTGATCGAAACTACGACATGTCACAGCCTAAGATTCTTCACACAAACTTGAAATATTAGTAGAAACTGGGAGCTGAGGAGGTAACTCCTGTTACTGGAACTTCTTGTGAATAACAGTAGAAGCGGGGAATAGAGGAAAGAATATGCTTTCTCACAAATATGAAAAATTCCCATAGAAAAAGCAGGTAAGTGGGGTACTGTTATACAGGTAGTCCTCAATTTACAACAGTTTGTTTAGTGACTGTTCAATGTTACTATGGCACTGAAAAAAGTAACTTCTGACCAGTTTTCATACTTATGACCATTGTAGCATCCCCATGGCCATGTGCTCAAAATTCAGATGCTTGGCAATTTGCTCATATTTATGATGGTTGCAGTGTCCTGGGGTCATGTAATCCCCTTTTGCGACCTTCTAACAAGCAAATTCAATGGATTCATATAGCAACAGTTTGACTAATTTAATAACCACAGTGATTTGCTTAACAGCTTTGGCAAGAGAAGTCCTAAAATGGGGCAAACTCACTTAACAAATGCTTCATTTAATGAAAGAAATTTTGGACTCAATTGTGGTCTTAAATGTGGGGACTCCCTGTATTTAGAGAGCTAAAGAGAAATTTCTGGGGGAAAGAAAAAAAAAAAGCAATGGCTGTTGATCCTAAGATGGACTAGGAGTTTTGAATTACTTGAACACTGGCCCAAAGATCAGAAGAAGAGGTGCCGAAGGAATATTCCTACTCAAAATAGACGTCTTATATGGATCAGGAAGACATGGAACAAGACATGGAGAAATGGATCAGGTCCTGCCAGCCTGAGAGAGAATGCCAGCCAGCCAGTATAATTATCCCCTTTCTTTAATTCTAGGTAGGAACTTAGAAATTACAGTACTATTAGGTTACTGTAGGCTGAACATTGCTAACTTTAAAATACTTGGCAGTTGTGCATAAACCAAGCATTTGTATCATTACTTTCCCCTTATTTTACAAACAGATTGTAATAGGCATTTGACAAAATAGACCACAATCTACTTCTTGGTTAGCTAGAAAAAAGTGGGATAGATAGCATCACCATCAGATAGATTTGTAACTGGCTGACAAACTGCACTCAACGAGTAGTCCTTAATGGTATTACACCTACATGGAGGGAAGTAAGCAGTGGGGTACCACAGGGTTCTATCTTAGGCTCAGTACTCTTCAATAGCTTCATAAATGACCTAGAAGAGGAACTTAACAAATCTGTGGATGATACTAAGCTGGCAGCAATAGCCAACAGCCTAGATGATATGCTCAGGATCCAGATGGATCTTGATAGATTTGAACACTGGACCCTATCTAAAAAATTAAATTCAATGTAAAGAAAAGTAAAGTCTTCACTTAGTCAAGTAAAATTGAATGTACACATATAGACTGGGTCAAACCAGGCTTAATAGCGATAACTGTGAGAGGAATCTTGGAGTCTTAGTGGACAACCAATTAAATATGAGCTAACAATGTGTGGCGGCAGCCAAAAAAGCCAGTGTAATCCTAAATTGCATTAACAGAGGGATACAATCAAGATCAAATACCATTCTATAAAGCCTTAGTAAGACCACACCTAGAATACTACATCCAGTTTTGGTCACCATACTATAAAAAAGATGTTGAGACTCCAGAAAGCGTGCAGAGAAGAGCAACCAAAGTTGATTAGGGGACTGGAGGTGATGAAAAGTTGCAGCAACTAGGCATGGCTAGTCTAGTAAAGAGAAGGATCAGGGGAGACATTATAGCAGTGTTCCAATATTTGAGGGGCTGCCACAGAGAAGAAAGGGTCAAGCTATTTTCAAAAGCACCTGAAGTCCAGACAAGGAATAATGGATGGAAACTGAACAAGGAGAGATTCAACCTGGAAATAAGGAGAAATTTTCTGACAGTGAAAACAATCAACCAATGGAACAGTTTGCCTTCAGAAGTTGTGGCAGCTTCATCACTGGAAGCTTTCAAGAGACTGGACTGTCATCTGTCAAAAATGGTGTAGGGTCTCCTGCTTGAGTGGGAGGTTGAACTGGATGACCTACAAGGTCCCTTCTAACTCTGTTAATCTGAATCAGGAGAATGGGCAAAATAAGTCCAGCTTTCTTGGCTGCCATAGAGAAATCCTGAAAATGACACTAAAAGCTTGTCTTGTTCTGCTAATTAAAAAAAAAGGGGGGGGGAGGTTATGATGTGCGGTATAGTGGCTATTGAGCCAATTTCTGGGAGCCTAAAAAGCATTTATGACATGCAGTAGAAGATTTATAATCATCTGACAGCAAGATTGGTTTGTTTGAAATAAAAGTTTGTGCGCTGAAAAATTTGAAATCATGAAAGGGACAAGAGTTAGCCCTTTAAACATACCTACTATCTATTCTTGATTGAAAAACTAAGTGTAAGAGAATTAGTTTAAAGCAGACAAATAAATTATCCTAAATTTACCTGAGAAGTATTTAATTGTGCCGCTTGACACTTTTTTCCCCCCTCCAGTTATGTATACATTTTTGGGCAAATTAAGAATTTGTGACAGAAATGGGATGGAACAAAATGCTCTTAAAATATGAAGAAAATGTGCAGATTCTCGTACACCTGATTTCAGATGGGACTATGTAGGACAGGGCTGTCAAACTCCTGGCCCGTAGGCCAGATGCATCATGTGCTGGCCACGCCCGGTTTAGCAAAGGGGAAAAAAGTCCCGATACGTCACGTGATGCTGCCACGACGACATGATGTAGGAGAAAGCAGTAGTGAACTTTCTAAAAAAAAAGTGTAGCCACTGATAAACCCCTAAAAATAACCAATGAGTTACCTTATTTCAGACACATTATGCAAAAACCCAGTTCCCTGGAAAAGACTCTAAGGCTGAGCGAGGTGGAAGGAAAGAGAAGAAAATACGAATGGACTCCACTGCAATGGTGATACGTGCACTGTTGAGAGACTTGAAAGAACAGGTTAAGGACAGGTCATCATGGAGAAAATCTATCTATGTGGTTGCTAGGAGTTGAAAAAGACTTGATGGCACATAATCAATTAAAATAAAACAGTTTTATTCTCTATCCATTATTGTTCCTCGCTTTTTCCTCTCCTAGCCCCTGGCCCTTTCTCTTTTCAGCCCTCATAGTCTGAAATAAGCCAGGAGGAGATAAACACGCTAAGCTTCAGAGAGGCTGAAATCCAGAAATAAAAAAAATCTTTGCAGATGCTAATTTAGAGACAAGGCACTGATTCTTTATTAGATCTGTTGAAATATACTCTGACATGATGTAACCAGGGGTGGGATTCAAATTTTTAACAACCGGTTCTGTGGGCGTGGCTTAGGTGGTGGGCGTGGCTTGGTGTTCATGTTATTGGCTGGGCATGACCAACTCAATATCACTCACATCGAGGCATGCATCTCCTCGCCTGGCCTCTCATGACCGTAGGGATGCTGCAACAGTCGTAAGTGTGAAAAATTGTCATGTCACTTTTTTCAGTGCCATTGTATCTTTGAATGGCCACTCCACACAAGCAAAGTACCAGCAAAGGAGGGGGGAAAAACTCCAGAGATGTTTCTGAGACAGGAAGTCTAGTCCTGCCAAGAATGTAATAAGGGTTAACGGAGAGGCAGTTTCTATAAGCAACACCAGAATGTTTCCTTCTTGCCTTCCTTACAGGATTAGGCCAGTAATTTCTTCTAACAACCGGTTGTCTGAACTGCTTAGAATGTTAACAACCGGTTCTAGCGAATAGGTGCGAACTGGTAGAATCCAACCCCTGGGTGTAACTGCTGTGAAAACCTAGTCTAAAAACCAAATTATTTTAGATTAAAACAGATTTAGCCTGTCTGAAGTTAATTCAATTTTGAAATGTTTAATGATCTTGCATTTTAGATTAGATATCTGGCTATATTTAACTGCCAGATGGTTGCAAAATGTAGTAAGAAATAGTTGAACTGTAGTTTGCCTTATTTACCATGACGTTGAGAGACTGATTAGTGGGCCCTTGTGCAATAATGTATTCCAGACCATCAGAATGTAGATTGGAAGGACGGCGGTATTTGAAGACGGTGCCAGCCACTCTAAAATTCTGTGGATTGTCAATAGCAGAATTTCCATTGAAGAAGAAATGACCCAAATCATCAGCCAGAGCTACCAGGAAAACAAAAACAAAACGAGAATGAAACACATCTATTGTGCAAATATTAATTTAGATATGCATAACTGGAAACCAAGTGACTCAATCCATCCGAACAGGATTTCCACTGGTTCAAATTTAACAGATCTGAGTTGTAAAAACCACTAGATGCCAGCAAAAACAATGAGTTTACTGCCACTCCCTGCTGCTACTTAGTGGTGATCGAGATGTTTACATCCAAGTTCTAGTAGTTCCACAATGACTCTTAGCCTATTTGTTTGTCTTCCTTAAGATGCATATTAGGGTTTATATCCTGACCTCTTCCCTGTGATATTTACAGCCATGAAGAAGTGGACTCATAGAGCTTGGGGCATGTGGATGTAGTTTAATCCACGAGTGGAATTTCAAGAAAAGACCATATTGCAAAAACCCCACAATAGCTTGCACAATGTAATGGTTCTCATTGCCAGCAAGTAAAAGCACAAGGAGGGGACACCAAAGAAGGACCATGGAACTCCTATAGTCTGTCAATAAAGGGATGCCCATCACCACCTCAGAAGAAGAAAGAGTACCTACATAAGTTCTGCAGTCTTGCAAGTTGGTGCCAGGCCAATAAATATATAGTCTGCCAATGAATCAAGCAAAAGTATTGCCAGATGTTGGAAACAGCACTCCAAATTTTCTATATATATGGAATGTATGTTACTTCTGAATTATTCTCTGTATTAATAGCAGCAGCACTTAGATTTATATACTGCTTCACAGTGCTTTACAGCCCTCTGTAAAAGTGGTTTACAGAGTCAGCATATTGACCCCAACAATCTGGGTTCTCATTTTACTGACCTCGGAAGGATGGAAGGCTGAGTTAACCCTGACCTGGTGAGACTTGAACTGCCAAACTGCTGGCACATATGTTGTTATTGCTAAAATTCTGCTAAATACACCCAACCAACATTTGATATATTGCCAAGTAGGGTCCCAAAACATTTTGGGAGTACAGAGTGAGCATAGTACCTAATAGTATCCTACTTGTATACTTCTCCTCCTTCACTTTTCTCCCATAAATATCATCAAGAAATATCACATGTCTAGGTTAACTTTGGGATGTAAAATGTTGATACAGACTACAGGAGCTTGAAAAAAGGTGCTATCTTGAATAAAAAGCTAGCCAAGTCAAATTCAAAAGCAGCTTATTTATGAAGTGAAAACATGTCCATAAAAAAAATCTATAATTGCATTGCTTCAATCCTCTATTATACTTTTGAAGATTGGAAAGTTATATTTATGTACTTTGGGTCGAAAATCCCTGAAGGCAGTGTTTCTCAACCTAACAACTTTAGGATGTGTGAGCTTTATGCTAGCTGGGGCATTTTGGGAGTTGAAGCCCACATGTCTTAACAATGCTGAGACTGCGAAATGCTGTTTTAAGAGACAATAAAGATTACTGCCATCCGTTCTCCATGGGGCTTCTCCTTGAAGAAATTACAACGGGTCTGGAATGAAGCGGCATTCGGGGTAGCTCTTAGATGATGTACGTTATACCATTACAAGGGCTTTCCCTTTTGTTTCTAGGTGTGATTTAAAGTGATTATTACCTTTAAAAGCAGAATGCACAGAGCCTCTCCAAGGTAATCTGCCCATTCTGCTATGCTTGATAAGGTGGGAACAATCCAGGTCCTTTCGCTCAATGTTGCTATCCACAGGGACCCAGAAGTGTGCCTTCTTGATAACCACTCCTTGCCAGTTTTGGTTCCCTCTGAGATTCAACAGGCCCCTGACAGTACTACCCTTCCCAAAAAACTTCAATGACCTGGCTTTTTCCAGAACCATTGAGCATCCGATGTATGAAGTGGAAGCTCAGAAAACTTAGTTATGGATGTATGGGGGTGTAGTTAGGGGCACTAGGAGTTTCTTTGTTAGTTTTTATCTTTATTGGTTTTATTGGTCTTGCTGTTGTTAGTGAGTAGCTCAGGGTTATGTTGTAGGGTTTTTGTTAACCTGTTAGGTAACCTGGCACTAAAAGAACATTCCATTTCATTGTTACATTGCATACAATTGGAAGTCTCATACATTAATTAAATAAGTAAATAAATAAAACATGAAATCCTTTAAGTATACTTTTTTTTGACCTGTTAGATAATGTGATGACCCAGGGTGGGATACAAAACAAACATAGTCACAGAAAACAGGTGAAGCCCCTTTTATTCCTTCAGTTTTTTTTCAAGCTCCGAATATCTTTGACGGAAGACAAAATCACTCCCACACAGTTACACGAAGAAGGAAAAAAGCAACACAAACCAGGCAAGATAAGGGCTGGAGGATGTCCACAGATAACACACACTGGGAAGGACTCCAAACTCAGAGAGGAGCTATAAACTAGAGATATTTACACGCTTTGTTTCCAGCATTTGCCAGTACGCAGGTCCAAACTCTTATTCAGTTATCACACCTGCAGCCCATGATCAAGATCCTCTCCTCCCGAGGAGACCATGTCTCTCTCTTATCCTTTCCTCCCCGCGTGTCCTAGGATGGATAGGGGATAGGCCTGGGTCCTCCTCTGACTGCTCAGCCGGCCTCTGCTCTTCCCCAGCCTCCTCCACAACCTCCGGAGCCACATTTCCACTCCCTGTCAGCTGTTCCTCCTCTCCCTCAGAGTCAGTCTCCACCAGGGGCATGACAGATAACTTGGCATTAGAACATTGCTATTTCATTGCTTACCCACATTTTCTATAAGTCAATCAGTGTAATACTGATATAGATTGCTTACCCAGTATATTCTCTGTCTTCCTTCGTTCAATAATGAGTATATCTGTAGCACCAGCAGGAATGTTGGTGATAAACACATATCCTGGGAAGTGAGAAATATAGAAAAATCAGGACAACTAAAATCAGATGAACAGATCTTTTTCTACAAAGAACTTTTGTTCTTTCTGTTTTGCCACAGCAGCTAACTCACTGAGAATGTAGAGAATGCCTGCGCCACTCCATGCATTACACTCAGCAGAGAGCTACAGATAATCTCTTCAGTTTATCTCCAGATGTACTGGGAATGAGATTCTCTGCATTCTTACAGAGCCTGGCCTTTGGGGAATTACAGTTGTAATGTATCTGGAGGGCATCAGGTCTATTTATGATAAACAGGCTTGTTTCATTCAAAACATTTTATATACCTGCAAAATATACAATGTGTAAGAGCTTTTAATTATGCACAGCCTCGATTGTATTTTTTTTAAAAAAAACACAGGATAATGCTGTTATCATTATGTTAGATTTTATCATAAAAATATGCCGAGAGATTATTTTGATGTTACTCCATGCTATTATAAAATGTCTTCTCTGTAGCAGGTTTATCAGAAGGTAAACTGAAACCCTTGCAGCTTCTGTGTGATGGAGTTGCAACCCTCCCTCTACACCAGATAGACACATCCATCAATGTCGGAGGTGGGAAACGCTGGCTCCTTTATGACTTGTGGACTTCAACTTCCAACATACCTGAGCTAGCAGAATTCCTGAGGCAGAATTCTGGGAGTTGAAGTCCACAAGTCATAAAAAGGCCATCGTTCCCCACCTGTGCTCTGTGTTGAATGCTTGATGACAATGAACATTAGCATGCATTTTCTCAAGAAAACACTAGTAATTGCAGTTCAGAGTCAGCTCAATCCACAAGACTTCCAAGGACTGGCCCAAGACATGTGGACTGCCTGGGTGAAGGAGGACATCTAGCTCGTTTCTCCACTTTCAGTAATCCAAAGGATTGATAGTTGCATTTCCTTTCAACCCTGGAGTCAGGACACATGCTAAACACAGCTCTGTTTTTCCAACTATATGAGAGCTTGAAGTACAAACACCAGGAATTGGGCAGACATTGCTACTTTCCCTCAGATACAGCAGTTATTAAGGCTGCTTTGAACAACACAGCCAACTTTGATCAGCCAAGGCAGAACATGATCTAAATCAAAGCCATTGTGAGAACAATAATGATATAATGAAACACTGTGGGAATTTGTGGGCTGATATAACAGTGAACGGTTTTATTTCTTTTAATCAAATATGGTGCTCAATCCCAATCCCGTATTTTGATAATATTTGGTGGAACCAGAGTTTTGGGGGCTGTTATTTGACTCAATCAAGAGCTCCAGTTGCTTGGCTTCACCAAAGGAAAGAACTATTTGTCATTAAATTTATATGCCACACATCTTATTCTGAAAAGCAGCTCTTTTCAGTTCTCTGAAAGAACTGTTGCAAGATTATCAAGTATCTGTGACTCTGCATGTGGGATATTTTGTGCACAGCCTGACATCTCCTACAGCAGGGACATCAACCTCAAGGCCCACGGGGCAGATCCGGCCTGTGGGGTGCTTAGATCTGTCCTGTGGGGCCACCCTGGATACAGCGAAGGACCGCCCCGCTATGCCTCTGCCAGCGAAAACAGAGTCAGGGAAGCCATGTGCTGCCTCCCCAAGCCCAGTTTTTGCCAGCAGAGGGCTGCAGGAGGCAGTCGCGGCCGAAAACAGAGCCTCAATGAGTGACATCGAGCTGGCCACGCCCACCCGGGCCCTCTAGGTCAAACAAAACCCTGATGCAACCCTCAATGAAATCGAGTTTGACACCCCTGTCCTACAGAATATAGATTCTCCAATTTCACATTTTTCCTTTCTTCTCAGAAAGAAATGCATAGAAGATCCTGGGACTGCAATAATACTGCTTCAAATGTATGCATTGCTTTCTGGTCCATCTTCCTTGTTTATCTTCTTCAGTTCATTCTCTTTTATAGCTTATTTCATAATCCCTCATTCAACTAATTCATTACTTGCTTTTAAAAATGCAGAATAAAGCTGCCCACGTGCACAGTATAATCTCAATTTAAGAATAGAACTAGACTTCCTCAATTGAAAATATTTATAACATGGAGAGTTTGGGGCCTCCAAAGAATGTTGAGCCACAGTTCCCTGTAACTTCATTATTTACGGCTAATGACAATGAAATGCCAGAAATTGTTATTCAGCAATATTTAGAAAGTTATTTATCTGAAATATCCCCCATTACAAAATGGCATCAGCTTTTTGTGAAAGAAAATAACCTCACAAGGGACTGAACTTTTCCCTGTCTCCTGCTTTTTCATTGGAGTATTCCATATGCTTTTGCCCATGATAGGTTTTAGGTGCAGTATGAAAGGATAAGTATGGAAATGGAATTCAATAATGCCATATCATGTGGCTATGGCAATGTACTGCATATTATCATTCTGCTCTAAAAAGATGCCCGATTCAGACTCTAACATAAATAGGCATCAGACGGGATCAATATCCTCCAAAGTATATACTTGAGGGTTTTTTTTTTCTTGCTTTAGCCCCAGGCTAAATTTATTCATTTACTACATCTTCATTCCACCTTTATTATTTTTACAAACAACTCAAGATGGCAAGTATTCTTCTTCCTCTTTTTCCTACAATAACCCTGTGAGGTGGGTTGGGCTGAGAGAGGATGACTGGCCCAAAGTCACCCAGCCAGTTTTCATGCCTAAGGCAGGATTAGAATTCCTAAGCAAGCACTTTCACCACACACCAGAATTGTCTAACCAGAAGCAAGAAAGTCACAAAGCGTAATACAAAATAGCTCAGTTCTGTTAGCAAAGTGTACCTAACTGTGAGATCCCCTTTCGGAAACTGCCTGAGACTCGGTAGCAAGTGCTTCCATCACCTCCACATACCCGGCATCGATCCATCACCTGGGAAGAGTAGAGGCTGCCATCACACCCTATTGGCTAGGGGGGGAAAAGGAAAGGCCAGTTTGAAATCCATGCCTAAAAGCCCACCTTGATTCTTCAGGTTTTGGATCAAGCTCTTTGTTTTTTTCCCCACAACTGATGTTTATAGATCTATTTCTTATATCTATTTTTTAAAAGCAGGAGTCCCCAACTTGGCAACTTGAAAATTTGTGGACTTCAACTCCCAGAATTCTGGAAGTTGAAGTCCACAAATCTTAGAGTTGCCAAGTTTGGGGACCTCTGTTTGAAAGCTTGGTTCTTTTCTCTGCTCCATCTCCCTTGCTCAAAATTTAGATTCTCACCATTACATTTTGGAGTGCGGATTTAGCACAACGTAACGCTCCATAGCTCTTCTTCTCTCACTTCAATTGCATATACATTTCATGAAACAGATCTTAAAAATTTAATCTTTCTTCATTTAGAGATTTTTACAATGGCACAAAAGGGAGCTATAAAATTATGCACAGACTGAGAAAACATCAGAAAACAATTCGGTGATTTGTTGGACTAGAACTAGATGAAAACATCATCAGACAAAGAAAAGTATTGATGTGATAAATATTAGACCTACTGAGAGGTTAGGGAACTCTATATTACTTTTCTTGATTTCCCTAAGGCCTCTAGCTTAAAACAGGATGTTAAAATAGGAGGCTTTTGGTCTGTTCCAGTGGAATGTCCCAGTGTACTCTTGTTATGTCCAAGGGTGGGCTGCTATGAGTTTGCCTGGGTTCAGGAAAACCCATAGCTAATGTTATGGCCGGTTCAGACAACCGCCAAATTCCACCCCTGGCTGGCCTCACCCACCCCTCCCACCCTGCCCTGCTCCTCCCAGGAGTCTCCACATGGCCCATTTTGGATGTGAGGTAAGTGCAGGGCCCATGCAGAGTCCGTTTTCCCACTTCCAGAGGCTCAAGGAAAGCCTCCGGAGACTGGGGAGGGCGAAAATCCCCCACCCCGCCATGGTGCAGGAGGCTGACTAGGCCACGCCCACCATGGCCACGCCCACCCAGCAACTGGGCAGAGAACTGGTTGCTGAAATTTTTGAAGCCCGCCCCTGGTTATGTCCCAGTCTTAGCCCATAGATCTGGCCAGCTGAACTCATACATCCCAAAGCTAAGAGTCATCCTACCGCAGTAGGCATCTAGGAAAATATTTCTTTGGATCATATATGAATCTAGAGAGCAGTTCCTTTCATCAAAGTTGTACCTCACACTTCCCACTGATACAGACTCCTTGGTAAGCCCTATCCTTGCACGATGTGCCATCCTGGGCTTGTGTCATGAGTTGTCTCTCCCCATTCCTTGAAGTGCATTGGAGATCACAGGGCTTGTTAGAAATGCTGGTGTAATCATCTACAGAAAAGCACAGGAGAAAAGGAAACAGGGAGGGCGTGCAAATTTGGGTCAAGAGACTTACATACAAGAAGATGTTAAAATCAATTAAATAAAAAATGGAAATTTTGAACCTTTATAGCAGTGGCCCCCAACCTTTTTTGTGCCACGGCCCGGTACCGGCATCATAAAATGATCCATGGCCCGGTACCGGCATCAGCACGCATGACAAGGCAAGGCGAGCCGAGCGACCGGCCAGCCAGCTGTCCCCCGCTTCTCCCCGCCACCTTCAACTCCTCCTTTGTACCTTTGTCGATGGGCTTCGCTTCGGGACGGTCGCTCGGCTCGCCTTGCCTTGGGTGCTGAAAGAATCCTCGCACCTTAGTTTCGTTCGAAGCCCCCCACTGTTCGATGAAACTAAGGTGCGAGGATTCCTTCAGGACCCAAACACCGCTTTCCAACCGGAAAAGCTCACCTGGAAGCACTTTCTCGTCAAACAAGATGGCGGCGCCCAGCAAACCGGCGGCCTGGTAGGAAATGTTCCACGGACCGGTACCGGTCCGCGGCCCGGTGGTTGGGGACCCCTGTTTTATAGCAATCATCACCATTGTCTATTCTTATTGTGACTTTTAGGAGGTGTTATTCAGCAACATGTCCATGGATGATTCTCAATCATCAAGCCAAAGATGCTTTTCAAAAGGCAACTGTTTTTTCCTTGAAAAAATGTTTCACCCCTCATCCAAGAAGCTTCTTCAGGCTGAATGGGGAGGAATGAATGGAAAGATTTATATTCTTAGCTGTCATCTGTTGAGAGAGGGCTGTTCAATTTTAATATAAATGGCCTTTTTTAGAGAAATAAAACAACCACTTCACAAATACATGGCACAACACAGAAGAACAAACCCATCAGGAAAAGATTCAGCAGGCCATTGGCATTTGAAAGACAAAGGTCACTCTTTTGAAGATAGCAAAATCCACATTCTGAACAGAGAGGACCCTTGGTTTGAAAAGGGATCAAAGAGGCCATTTATATTAAAATTGAACCACCTTCTTTTAACTGGAGGGGGGGGGAGGAATATGACGCCCCCTGTCTACAACACAGTCCTTTCAGCAGTACCAAGAAGTTTCCACAATCATTTGCACCCTGATTCAGGTGATTCTGAGGGTACAGATCAACTCTCAACTCTTAGAGAGCTAACAACAAATTCTTCCAGGTGCTAACAACTAGATAACTGCTAAGAATATGAATCCTTTCTTTCCCCACAATTCAGCCAGAACTGATGAAGAAGCAAAATGTCTTTCAATGAAAAAAACAAAAACAAAGTCAAGTTGCCTTTTGAAAACTATCTTTGGGTTATTCAGCAACATCTAGTGAATCACATTTTTTTTCCAATTCAGATTTAAATCATTCTAAAAAATCATTGCTATTTTTAAAAAATCTTACCTGAGATATCTTGCTGGGTAAAAGCATATACATTGTATTTATCTTCCAATGTGAACCCTGACTAAAATTACTACTTTAAACACACAGCAATGATGTACGATGTCATTGACTGGGGAGGACCAATTTTCTTTAGATTTCTTTTCTGTACCTTTCCTCAATTAATCCACCCAACCCCCCACCCAATCAGCACTTCACTTCCCAATAACCTTCACTTGGCATGTCCTCCCCGTCACAAGACTCCCACCTGATGTGACTCCCACCTGACCCATCACAAGACCCTCACCTGGTGTGACCTCCCCATCACAAGACCTACTGACCACATGAAGCCCTTATAAACAGAGGTACACTGACATCCCTTAAACTCTGATGAAGATGTCATATAGCCTGGTAACAAAATGTTCAGAAACTAACCCTCAAGCTCAGAGAACAAACCTACATCCTCATTTTTTTTAACTCTTTGGTGTAGGTAAGAGTGAGCTGGAAACAAACATCGCCTATTTCCATATTTAACAATCTTTCTAAAAACCTAAAGTAAGGTTTGAAGTTAGGTCACTAAAGTTTGCCAGTAAAATGGCCAAAGATCTACAGGCAATCCTTGATGTACGACCACAATTGAGCCCAAAATTTCTGTTGTTAAGCGAGACATTTGTTAAGAGGGCTTTGCCCCATTTTGCGACCTTTCTTGCCACAGTTGTTAGGTGAATCACTGCAGTTGATAAGTTAGTAACCTGGTTGTTAAGTAAATCTGATTTCCCCATTGACTTTGCTCGTCAGAAGGTCATAAAAGGTGACCTTCAATCATCATAAATATGAACCAGTTGTCAAGCTTCTGAATTTTGACCATGAGGAGGCTGTAATGGTCATAACTGTGAAAAATGGTCATAAGTCACATTTTTTTCAGTGCCACTATAACTCTGAACGCTCGCTAAATGTACTGTTATAAGTTGAGGAGTACCTGTGTAACATTTCAGACTGTTTGGGGGAACGGCTTAAAACTGAAATGCTAAGTTTGCCTTTCAGATGTAACTTGCTTCTCTTTTCCCTCTTAATGGGAATGAGATCATAGAAAAGCCATGCTGCTGAAAATTGGCCATCTGGCTACTGAATTGCAGTAACAAAATGACTGGCCGTGGGAGGAAATGACCAGAGAGTTGCCCCTTCCTGTTAGAAGGAAACTTGGTGCTCTTAAGGTCTATATGGCTTCCTTATGGCTCTCAATTCCGTGGCCCTCCTTAATTCTATAGCAGCAATTGTCAGGCTTCTTTCGAGTAGGCTAAAATAAAGTCAATTAAATAGGCACACAAGAATTCAGCCATTGCGGCAAGCAGATGTTACTGTAGCAAACCTAATGAACATTGAAAGAATCATTCCAGTGATTGCTGTGTATTAAATGCAAGCTCTATTTATCAATGTTCACTTTTCTTGGGTTTCTTTCTTTCTTGGGTGTCTGCTCTTTGTAAAGAGCTAGAATAAATTCTCCTTTGAGTGGGAGATATTGCTTCCATCTCTTTTTTTGTTTGTTTGTTTGTTTGTTTGTTTGCATAATGGCCAGAACTAGCATCAGATCATTTACTTTTGACCGCATGAAAATTAATTTTAACAGCAGTTACTTGATAACACTACCTGGCTCGAGAATTCTCAATCAAATACAGTGCTGTCTTCCCCAATCCAGATGTCTCCTTGATTTGTGACTTCTTGGAATCCCTTAACACCACTGTCATAATTGAGAATTTTAGTAGTTGAACTTCAGACATCTGGAGAGTCTCCAGATTGAAGAAGGCTAGTATACTAAACTGAAATACTGTAGTTGAGATAGAAAAATAATGTTGCCAGGTATAACTGCTGTTGCAAATGAAACCTTCTCCTATTTTTAGGAAACAGGAATACAAAATAAGTAGCTTTTCTCTTACATCATTTCCTCCCACCCCCCTCTATATCTATGTTATCTACACACTAAATATAATGCTTGCTGCATCTCAGTATGATTTAGTCAATAAAAGCCCATGCTACAATATATCTTGCTATTTAAAATGGGGATATTTTCTGGTTTTCTGGGAATAAATATTTGCAGTCTTCAATCTTCACAAAGTCTTGCAAACCCTCTTACCTCCTTGTCTTTTGATCTATAGCTTCTGCTTAATAATTTAGCAAAGGCAAACCTGGATAGAGTGGCATCCAATGATAATAGTGTTTTCCAAAGGCCTTGGCATTGAAACTGGCACACTGATGTTGCTTGAAACTGGCTGTGTTGGCAGGGCAAAGCTGGGGAGAAAAGAAACATAAACTGGTGCTTGTTCCATTGCCTCTCTATACTAGATTGACATGGAATTATGTCCAAATATAACATTAATCAATGTTTAAGATCCGTAGACTACAACTCCCAGAATTCCTCAGCCAGCTGGAAAAGGTTGAAAAATAATGGAGTGGACAATCTGAATAGTATTATTTCATTGTATGAAGATTTTGAAGTTTTCAGAGAAATGTAATGGTTTAGGACAAAAAGACAATGTAAAAATGTAATGGTTTAGACAAAAGAGGCCACCCATATCATTAACAACCAAATAAATTGTTTGAAAGTAAATGGCATGTATGTGTCTCTTCATTAGTCCTTTGTTTCTCTTCTTTCCACTTATTATATTAAATGGGATTTTAATTTCCACCAGAAACAAAGAAGTTAGATGAATAAATGAGTGGTGAAAAAACATACACAGGGAGCCTACTTGGAGCAGCTTTTTAAGCAGCCATGCCAATATCAAAAAGGCATGGCTGTTCTAATGATTCACAAAGAGGTGCTTTCTATCTGCAACCTGTGTGTTTTAATGTACCCATCTTGAAGGTTCTTAATAGGAGACATGCATTCCTGTTACCCTGTTAACATTTAAAAGCTGGATATTGGCTGGAACAGACATGCCTTTTCAAATTTTATTCATTAAAGAGAATTTACAATACCTGAAGAGGAATGATTGCTCTGAAAGAGATATGTTGGTAATGGGAAAGTGCGTGGCTGCAGAACAAAGCTAGTTTTGTGAATACTCCGTGTATGTGTGTATGTGTGTGTGTTTCGGCAGAATCTCATCTGCCATCATCAGGCTTCTGTATAGTTTTCGTCTATGAGTCAGACTTTCACAGCCGTTTCAGTTTTAAATTTGGGGCTAGCCTACTGCTGTGCCAGAATGGTTTTTTCTTCATCCTGATTGGTTGGGAGTCTTGGTCTGTGTTTATTGGTCTTGGA